TTCGATTTTTTTTCGAAAGATATATTCTTTCTAAAACTTTTAGAGTGGATCTCACCCCAAAGAGTGAAATCTCAACTCTTAGGGCCACTTTCACCATCGTCAGTTTACTTAACCAGCCTAATAACTGTAATGAAATAAAAAGAGATAGAACTATTTCTATCTCTTTCTATTTCATTGTAGTTACTTAAGTTAACTGAGCTTGGTGAAAATGGCCCTTAAAGATTGCAAATTGAGTCACTCTTTTTCAAGACTGGCTCAATTTTCACTCTTTGGAATGAGCTTTCACTCCAAAGAATTTAAAGAGTTAAATATTAATTTTTGTTACATATTTTTATGAAAGAATAATAAACAATAAAGGACATTTATCTCTCAACTAGCTAGGTATATACCAAAAAAGAATTAAGAATATGACTTTCACTTTCGTTCTGTTTAATCTCGATAAATATTCATATGTATCGTTATTGATTACGGACGCAACAGAATCGGAAACGGTGAGGAAGAGATTGTCATTGGAAGGTTTGATCATGGTGAATCGAGAAGACTATATTAGTTGCTTCCATTTACACCGATTCTCAGATAATTCTCGCTCGTGACGTCATAACTCAGTTGAATGCGCGTTCCTTTTGCATTGTGACAAGTGAGATTTAATTGAGTTTTTACCCATAATCTGCACAAGATCGAGACCGTGTGCTTTAGTGAGTCTCGTAAACTCATTTCAAAGTGAGGTTATGAAACTGTGTTGACATGCGATAATTTTTGACCAAAGTAAGCAAGTAGTGACGTCATTAATCCAAGTATAAAATACTCAGCTCACTTCAGACTCAGGCTGCGGTCAAAGTCTCCCTACAAATGCTTCGAAGCGTTTGATTGGCCAATTAGAAAAAAGAATTTTACAAATTGACCAACCAAAAATTGCTTTAAAGCATTTGCAGCATCGCGTTGACCGTACCCTCAGTTTCACTTGTGTATAAATGGGAAAGCAACTATTATCGAATATACCGGCGACTCTCCTGCGCGCGGGTTGCCGCGATAAAATAATAATTCCAGCAATTCCTGGGGGTCGGGACGACGTGCCGTCGGGCACTTGAAAGGATCTCGTGGGCGGGGAACGGGGGTCGGTGGAGCCGGGTACCCGACACATGTAGCCCCCCGGGTGGCGAGCACCGGCGACTCGTGCACGGACCCCCAACGGAGACACGAGCCTCGAGACATTCTGCGCCGTCATCATCGCGTCCCGGCAACGTCATTGCGTAGTACATGAGGCCGATAGCTACACGTGTACGGGTGTACGCGTGTCGGCAAACACGCACGGATCTCCACCGCGACGTCGATCCGATTTTTTTTCTCCGATCGCAGTTAAATTATTTTCGCAAGAACGGCGTAAGTCTCACTCAGAAACTAACAATGAGTATTGAGTAGCGATCGTGTAACTTTTTCTCCAAGTGGAAGAATAATAGACAGACGATGAAAAATAATAAATGGGGTCCATGGAAGAATAATAATAATTATTAAAGTGCTACCTTTGGTTTTAGTGATGAATCTGTCGCGATTTAATAATTAAAGAGTATCGAGCGTAGCTTTTATTAAAGTTTAGAGAAGTGATTCTTAAAGCTGAGAAAATTAAACTTTGATTAATCCTCTCAAAATTAATTCTTTGATTTATCCTTTTTCTATTAAAAGGCAAGATTTCTGTGTGATAATTTATTTGAAGATTGATTAATTTCAACGGCAGTGATTTATTTTTTCCCTTGTACGGTAACGATAAATTTATTTTTCGATTTTACGAGAAATACAAAATTACAATGTAGATCTCGCTGTAAGGAACAGCGAGCCAACTGTCGATTATTCTCTTGAAATACCTAGAATGCATTTTCAGTAGTCCAGATATGTATATTGTGACTTACAAATTAAACATCGGATAATCTTCCTAGCATGTAATTACAAATATATTGCAATTACATTAGCATGTAACTGCAAATATATATTTCTCTTATATTATATATTATTTTATTATCTTTCATATTCTCTCTTAATTCTCATATATTATTTTAAATAGAATAGATATCTTATCTCTTTTCTCTCTTTGTTTACGAAAATTAACTGCATATAAGAACGCAGCTTCGTTCTCCTTATCTGCAAATCTTTCTCGTTACGCTTAATTTTCATTGTGAAACTCAGTCGATTACTATTGCTTTCTAATTAATTCGCTTGGGCTTCCCGGCCTGATAGTTACGAAATCGTTAATTACCACCGACTTGATTAATGACTCGAGTTGCGTTCCAAAGACATTTGCCTGAGCATACCAATAGGCAAGATTTATATGCGTTCAAAGATGCAAATGCAATTGACAATTAAAGAAGATGTCGTCATTATACCTACTATATTAATAAACATAATAAAAGTTATATATATGTATATTCCCCCAAGAAACGCTATGCAATTTTTACGTTATATATTATTTATAATAAGCGTAATTAATCTGTTAATTAAATAACGAATTATATTCCAACTCACTCTAATATTAGACAAAGAACGGTTTTATATTTTATTTTATGAAGAATAAGAATTATAATGGGATGATTAATAACATTTTTGAAAAAAAGAGATTTATAAAATATTCATAAATAAATCACAAAATTCAATGAGAATGAAAATTTTTCCAAAGCTTAGAGCTTGATATTTATTAACTTGGATACTATAATTTGGCCTTCGTACAAAAATTTATACATGGTCGCTTTCTTTTATACGTTTACGTTCTGTCTGTAATTTCTGAAAGGAATCCAATACAAAAAGGCGAAAGGTAAATTTATTTGCCATATTCGTTTCAAATACGAAGAGATATCGAAAGTGATCCTCGCGAACTACAGACTTATTTCTGTAACTTTGCGTCGAAGCTTTCGGTTCCTTGCCAAAACATGTAAATGTCCAGTCGCCACGAGAATCGGCCGATGAATGCAGCGTGCAATCGTGAATGCAACCGGTCTTGTTGCGGTGCGTACTCTCCTCCACGCGACGTCATAATTGCGGCCGACCAATCGACGAGACCACGTCGGAGAAACGAAGACGATCGCGACCAGGAACAGCGGAGAACCGAAGAGCTGTAGAAGGTGAGAAGGAGAAGGAAGGAAGAAGAGAAGAAGAGGGACGAGACGAGAGATAGGTGGAGCAAGCAGAAATACGATTGGTTCCATCCTCCCGGAGGATATCGTAGCCATGGAAACTCTCTTGTCAGCAAAGAGCACCGAAATATAAATGGAATGACCGGCGATCTTCCCTGAAGAGGAAGGGAACGCGATATCATGAGGAAGGGGAGATGATCTATCCGAGAACAGAAAGAGAGAAAGAGAGAGAAAGAAATCGCGATATTATTAACATCAGATATTCTCTCTCTCTCTCTCTCTCTCTCTCTCTCTCTCTCTCTCTCGGTCAGCGAGATGAGCGAGAGTGATCTGTCGCGCAAAAAAAAATGTCAGGATTGCAGTCAGATGATGCAACATTGTCACAGGACACGTCCTTTCTTTGATCAACGAGATGGTGTCCGCATTCTTTGTCCTTCAATCTTTAGCATTTATGAATGCAATCACGGTCTTGGAAAAAAAAATAAAAACGTTTTGTATTAGAATAAAAAGTGTTGGAGGAAATTTGAAGACCGTAATATTAATGGAACTCGTTCTAGAAAATTAAGTCGACGGAAAAAGGTGGTTGAACGCTTAATGCGTCACACAAGCGTAATGTTTATTTGATACTCGAGACTTTATTTCGTAGTAAAATTTTTTATGTACTCCGCTTAGATCACATATATTTTCTTGATAATTTTTATTACATACTCACCCAACGAAAGAGTTTTTATTTTTTTTTAAATATACTTCAGAATTTATTTCTTTTTTTCAATGAATAGATTTCCAGCAGCTTCCCGTTTATCAATTAAGTATTAATTTATTAATTATAGCAATTCTTTTGCAACTACTATTAATTTGACCGAAAATAGGATTATTTCTATTAATTGATTTATTCTCAGTCGGTTTAATTTTGATTTCTAATTGTTTATTAATTAAGACCTTATCTCTCATAATAAAATTGATCGTGTCTAAATTTATAAAAGTGTTACGATTACAGTCCCTCCCGTTACATGGCGAAGCTCGCTTTTGCGTACGTCGATTATGATAACGTGAAATCTTTCCATTGACGGTGTATTACAATATAACGAAAAAGCAAGAAAAAAATATAACGACCTCGCGAGTGCCGCCTTATTTGGCCGCGTTCCTCGAGGCGACGACGACGACGACGAGGGCGACGAGGGCGACGAGGCCGGGAAAGACGACGGTCCGCGAGATACGCCGAGCAAATGCCTCGTGCCTCTCCTCGTCTCGCTTCCACCGCAGCCGCGAGCGACGAGATATCCCGGCCACTTCCACTGACTTCCACCGCAGCCGCCGTCATCTCCCTCCCGGTGCACGCGACCGTCGCCGGGACTCCACGGAGCAACAAGTGTTACCAGCGCCGCTGCCTTCGCCCCGCCCCCAAAACGAGCCAGCCGAGCCGAGTGAACGATGTCAGGCCTCGTGGTGGAAACTGCCCCGAGGCGATGCAACCACCTCACTCGAGCGCCGATCGCGCGACAAGCGACCCGCCGAAACCCCGCCGAGACTCGAGAACTTGAACGCGACGCGAGACGCGAGTTACCGCGAGTAACGCGAGCGCGCGCCCCGTCGTCATCCGGTTTCCGACCAGCGGAAAGATCCCGGTTCTTCTATTCTCTCGATGTGTGAAATTGTTCGACGCTACACGAAGGACTCTCTGAGACGGAAAGGTGCGAAGTCGTAGTCTACGGCACGCGAGTTATAACACGATATATAACGGTTGCCTACGATCGACCGAACGGAGATCTATCGAGATTCTCGCGGACTTCTCGTGGATTCCGCGAACGCATCCTGATAATTTCAATTCTGGTGACGTCACGCTGCTATACTTATTGTCAGATATAATTGATATCGTTTTTCTTCTCGAAGGATACACGATGAACTGTAAGATACAAGAATCCGCTTAAAACGTCAGTGGTATCTGTCTACCGAGTCACGTGTTATCCAAATGAGCGAAGCGAAAAGCCTTCCCTGAAGGAAGTGCAACGATCTACGAGGAAGGATAAGAGGGATCGAGCAAAATCGGTCGATCACGATTTCACGCGATACGCAGCTCCGATCTCGCCTTCTCGGGAAGGAGACCAGACGGACAAAGAGAAGCAGCGCAGATAAGAAGCGACGACGGAGTTCGGCGAACTGCGACGTACGAAAAGGCAACCGACGCAGAAGGCAAGAACGCTAGACGGAATCACGCGTGTGTGCACGCGCGAGATACGCGGTGTCGCGAGTTAATCAACAGCGATATTGATTATAAACGTGACAGTCGTCGATCGAGACGTGACGCCCGAAATTCTGCGAGGGAGAGGGAAAGAGGCTCTCGAGAACCAGCAGTTGAAACTTATTGTCAGAGACCGAGTGGGGAGAACCGCGGGGAAACGGAAGCTCACACGCTCGCCGCGATGATAAGGCGATAACAAAAGCGACGGCGATATCACGGCCGATGACGAACTGATCGATTGAGGCTATTTCTCGTCGCGGCTGATACGAGATGAGACGTGTTTTCCGCGTGTCGTACGCGATAAATCGGCAGGACTGATTGTGTACGATCGTACGGCATCCTTCGACACTCTCGACGGCCTTGGTGGAAATCTATTGTTCGCGCGACGTACGCGACGAAGGGGATGAAGATGAACGACGTCCAGCCGGAGAGCAGCGGCGCGTCGATTTCGCCGGCGGGCGGAAACAATAACAACAATAATAATAATAGCATCAATGGAAATGGCAAAACGTCGGCAACGGCCGCCGCAGCAGCAGCCGCCGCTGCCGCGGCGACGGTGGCCGCCAATGGCGGCGAAGGAATTAGTGCCGCCGTTGCTAAGGTTCTTCAAGGATACGACTGGACCCTGGTACCTGTTGCCACCAAGTAAGTGTATTGCGTGTCAAACTCGTATTTTTTCCTCACCCTCGAATCGTCGTTTCGTTCGTAGACGTAATAAGTACGATATAGGCTGGTATATTCGTAATCGTTTCTTATATTTAAGGGCCATGGCACACAAAAAAACTTGAGCGGTAAAACGTAAGCAGTAAGCGAATTGACCAATCGCAGTAGAGTCCGTAAGGCCATAACATGAGTAGTAGCGAATCCAACATGTTGATTTCCTTATTGCTTACGTCTTACTGCCTTAAGTTTTTTGTATACCATGGCCATAAGACTGTCTTAAGTATGGTTCTAATGAGCTTTCTATAATAAGCTGTTACCTAAGCTTTACGGGCTTTCTACAATAAGTCATTGCCTAAGTCTTAAGCTATAAGAAATTTATTAATCATGATCGATTATTCTTCTTACATTCGACTGTGATTGATTAATTTCTTAAGACTTAAAACTTAAGTAATAGTTTATTGTAGAAAGTATTATGCTGATTCTGTAATAAGTCTGTAGTTGGAAGTCTTATAGTCTTAATCGGTGAAATTGGTCAATCAGCGTTAATCGTACAAGTTGGCTATTGAACTGGTCAACTTCGCTGATAAGACTTAGGACTACCGACTCATTGTAGAACCAGCATTAAATCTTCAATCTTAAGAGAAATTAATCATAGTCGATTATTCTTCTCACTTTGATTGTGATTGATCAATTTTTATGACTAGAACTTAATTCATTATTAATAACTTATTATAGAAAATTCATAAGATTTCATATATGAACCGCATTAGCATATTCAAATATTATTTAAGATTTTGAAAGAAAAACGAACTTTAAATACTGCTCAAATTCATTAGAAAGAAAATTGTACATTACATATTAGCATCTCTCTTTAATTTGATATTTGAGAGAGAGAGAGAGAGAGAGAGAGAGAGAGAGAAAATTCAAGTTATTTCACTTTTTCTAAACTGATGACAACTTTATAGAAATGCGAAGTCTGTTCTTATGTCTATCCCATACGGCATACAATATATAGAAACTTGTAGCAACATTGTATGTACTGCAATATTGATAGAACATTGCTGTTGGAATGATCTGTGTTGATCAAATGTGGTTTCGCTCGAGCGCGATGGAAAGAATTCGAAAAATTATGTTTTTACCATTAATCGATATAAATCTTATAAGCTCCATTCCAGATAGTATAAAAAGAATTCAATCGTATGTCATCTTCATATCCTTCCAGATAGTATAAAAAAATCCAGTCGTATGTCATCTCAATTCTGAGTTCATTTTCAGATGCAAAAAAGATTCTTCTCAGAACTGTTCAGAAAAAGAATTCTTTTTGTGTCTGAAAATGAATTCTAAGTTGATGACATAACAACTGAATTCTTTTTGAAAGAATTTTCTCTGTGCCATCTGGATACAATTTTCAATCATACTCTGAACGTTTTTTTTTGTGGAGTATATAAAGAATATTATTTTTATTCGCTTGATAAAGGAGATAAAAATGACTTCAGTTTATAATCTTTGCACATAGTTTAATGACTGATAGATCTATAATTAGTAAACTTAAGATTCACCAAAGATGGCTGTAAAGAGAAAAAATGAAACTAAACACACTATATAGAGACCTGATGATAGAAAGAAAAATATTAAATACAATTGCGTATGTGCAAGGTTAACATATTGCCTACAAATAAAATACCAAAATGAATATGTGAATCATAAATCTATGATGTAAAATGTAAACTTACATCAATAAATGATTGAACAGAAAATTAATATATAATAACAAGATGTATAAAAGAAATAAACTTCCAAAAAGAGAAAAATTAATATAATTAGAATTTGTGCAAAAAGTTACTTGTTTATATATGACAAATAAAATATTCTAGATGTATGTCTCACGTTGATATTTCATTTTAATGCTTCAACTTTTTTATATTTTTTCCATTTAGATCGGAATGATTAATAAATCGTCGGAGACGTTTCCGAGAAATATTCCTTTTTTTTTTCTTTTCTGTAAGCTTCCTCGATTCTCAGTGTTTTCGCAAAGCGTTTTAATCACCGCGAGTCGCATTAGCGACGCGTTAACATACGCATGTGGCCGTGCTGTTAGGCCTCGTGGACTTAACTCGCGCGAGGGGGGAAAAAACCAGAGAAGAGAAAGAAGGAGGAAAGGAACGGCGCGACGAAGCCCGTCGGGGAGAGAAGAAGCGGGCGAGGAAGCGTGGCGCGGCCTTAAAAATACGTAACGCTAACTCAATTATGACGCACTCGTTTCCCCGGCCTGGGAAACGCGCGTCTCCGCGGAAAAATGTCCTCGGACGCCAATTAACGCAAATTGGCTAATTAATGCCCGATCGCCGCGTCCTGCGCGTCCCGCTCGCCGGCCCTCCTCCATCGTGGGAAGGCAGGCGATCTTAAAATAGCGACCTGATAACGACTCGAAAGAGAGAGAGAGAGAGGGGGGGGGGAGAGGAAAAGAAAGAGAGAAAATGAAACGCTATTTCTTCGTGCACTTTAGAAGCAAAGTCATCGAGCGGTGTCCTCGACGCGTCACTCGGTATTAGCCGATGAAAAATCATTAGATCGCCGACGAACTCGATAAAATCGCGAGCGCGACCTCGATATGCGCAAAATTGTGCAACGCGCTTTCCGATCTTCTCCAACTGCCGCGCCGTAATGGCTGCCGATACCGCGATCTGATATTTCTAGTTGTCGCGACGATCATAATTATTCTTGTAAAAAAAAATAGAATGAAAGAATCTATCAGGAAGATTAAAAAAGTTTCCAGGAACTGAAAAGTATCTTATCAAAACGTTTATAGAGACTTATGTTACGCTGATACTAAAAATAGCAACGTTTCTTAATCATTAAAATGACCAAGTGTATAAATTACTATAGAAAATGATGAAAAATTAAATATTTTGTCAGTATAAAGAACATAATTTTGAAAAATAAAAAAATTTCAGAATCATGCCTTTTCACGCAAGGAATATAATATTAATCTAAAAGATAGAAACGATCAATAATGACTGCTCGATTCTTTAAATGTTAAATATGGGAACACGGAATTACGTTTGGATTATATTAGTAAAACTAATAATAAAATAATTAGCTCTCCAAGTTCTTTGAAGCGAAATCTCTTTTTTTCAATGGCAGAATTTTTTATAAGATATGAAATTTTCTATATCTAGAAAATTTTTATAGATATCTCTAGAAAATCTTAATAAGAAGATTGATTATATCTTAATTCAGGAATAATCAATTTTAAAACTACAAAAAGACAATATGGCAAATGGTATCATGAGGCAAAGTGTTCTCTTTGAAACGTATTATAAGAACTTTAAAATTGTCTCAGCTAGAAATCTATCATGAATGAAACATGGAATGCCAATTTTCCCGGGAAGAAATGATCATGTATGAAAAGACTGGCTTATGATTTCATTCTATAATCTCAATGTCGTTAATCGCATACAAAAAGAATGCCCAGAAGATCGCGGCTGTCGCGAGCGTCGAAGATAAGACTCCAGAAAAATTCATTGGAATGACGAGGAAAAGCGATTACGCGGCTAGGTACGCGGTTAGATCATGGAGCAGAATCGGCCACGACAGAAATCACAGAGTGTATCGTTACGCGCGCTTATCGTTAACCCTCAATTACGGGGTTATCTCAGGGGGAATGGATGCGGTGTTTGTTTCTAGCCGGTGATAGAGCCCCGATAAAATCGACCGGTTTTTTAATTCCCATGGATTTTCTTGAGAATATCTCACAGAAGCTATAATTACTAAATTACATTTTGGTTCGTGATTATTAATCCTCCATTAGCCATGTGGCATCTTGTATCTTTCGTTAATAACCTAGATCTTCGAGTTTCAGCGCATTTATACTATTATTGTTCCATTGCAGATTGTATAAAAGTCTGAAACAAATGTTTGTATATTTGTGAAAGCTTTAATAACGAACTTTTATTATTTACTGTAATCACAGAAATTCGATTACATTTTACTTACATTTTACAGATTTATTTATTCAGAATCTATAATCAAAATATCGACTGCCTTTTAAATACAACTTGGCTGGTGGAGGCTTAAACGTAAAATCATGTTCGATGGCAGTTCGGCGAAAATTGTATTCAAAATGCAAGATTAAATTTGAATGTAGGATTGAATTATTGATTGTCGCATTATTGTTCTTTTCATTTTTCTTTTACACGGAAAAAAGTAACTAAAAACCGTAACTAAAAACTACAAACTGCGTTTGTTAACTAAATAGTAGGTGTAAAATTTGGACACCTGAAATATAAATAGGTATAGCTAATGTATAGCTTCTATAGCTGTGATACTTTATCATGGCAGCAACAGTAAACCATATACATATATATTTTGCTGTTTATAAATTTATAGTTATATAGGCAACAAATATATTTTATCCAAAATTAACTAGAATACGGCAGGGAAAGTTTTTTCTCGTGATATTATTGGACTGAAATCATCAGACTAGGCATTGAAGATTGAGATATTGAAATTTGACTGATGATTGAAATCCAAATAAGAGCAAAAATTTCCTTATTTCAATCAAATTTCAATCTTCATCCTCAATTTTCAATACGTCTGATTTGCCTTACATGGAGAGAATTTTTCGTTATTTTTTACCGCAAAATTCATTACAAATTTCATCATGTTTGGTAATAAGCTTGGGACAACTTGACAATAATGAAATATTATCAGTAACGATAGATTTTTTGAAATATTTTGAAGTGAGTAAGTTCTAGCGTAGCTAGAGACACACTCGACAATGAAAATAACCGACAAATATCGATTACAGTCGTTCAATTACTATGTTAGTATGATCAATTACATGCTAAAATTATAAGCGACTAAATCAGATTAAAAATATCATGCTGTATGGTAAAAATTGTATAAGCTATTTTATATATTCACGACTACTTAGCATCTATTCTTTTAAAATAATAAAGAATCATAAACTGCGTAACATATTTTAAAATATTGAAATTTTACTATACTCTTTAGTAAAATTAATAAAATATATTACATATATCTTATTATGTCACATATTAGTAAATTAAAGAAACTCATATACAATTCTTTGAAATACTATGTTGTCCCACTATTATCATGATTTTCAGGTTAAATTCTAAGAGAAAATTCTCTCCGTGTAGCATGATATCGTTCTTACGTGCGCGCGTTTCTTACCGTTGCAAGGCAGCGCGCATTCGTGCCATTTTGAACGGTACCACGCCTTCGTCGCGAACGCAGAGTCGCACGCATCGTATGTATGTTTTTTTTTCTTCTTTTTTTTCTGCGTTTATCCAGGTAAAGCGCGCGCGTCGTGTGTGCCGCGCGCTCGCGTCGAGGAGCGCCGTGAAAACCCTCGTTAGTGAGCCCACGCTAATTACCAACGGCTCCGCGGGTTTACACACGGATTTAACGCCCCTCTCATTTCAAAGAGGCCGAAATGTACCGCGGGACCGCTTTCGAATCCTTGAGACGCGCGCCGGAGTCCTTTTCACCCGCGTTACGCACATTCGCCACGCTTATCCCCGTGTAATCCCCGCGCGAATCGAACGCTTATAGGTCCGATTACATCCTGAGTTACTGCTACCAGCATGATTATCCCCTCAAACTCTGTTTTCCTTAGCCGGAATCATCCAGAGTGATTCTTTTATCCCATTCGGAAATTAATCATGATAAACATAACTTTGAGGCAGTAAATACACATGAAAATTTTTTCCACCTAGTGTTCCAATCATTTGTGATCTCTAATCCTCGTGAAATGACTCACGGCCTATCACAGATGTGCTTTTTGTAACTCTGCATTCTACTTTTAATATAAAGTATTTGCGATCTGAAAATGGATAAAAAATGAACCAAAGCATGGAATGCAACGTAACTTTTTCATATATTATATTTGATTTTTTTTATATTAACCTTGTTTTTATATGTATATTAATCTTGGTCATCAATTTTCGAACTCATTTATTACACCAAAAAAACTAAATTTTAATAAATATTTCTTTGAATAGTTGTAAGTATTTATTAAATGTGATATATTTATTTGATACGAAAACTATTAATTTAATTTAATTATAATATAATTTTTTATTGAGTAAACATTTATTTAGTGTAAGTAAATGTTTACTATTCAAAGAAATATGTATTGGGATTTAATAAATTTTTTTTGTGTAGTTATTTTAATTTTTAATCACGATTATTTTAATTACGATAATTTTCTGGTTCTTTTTGCACAGAATGAATCGTTCGTATCTAAGGTAATTTTCCTAATTTTTATGAGTTATACAAAATTATTAAGTGATTCTTACGTATACTTTAATATCTTTAGAAAGTATTTGTAAAGCTGTGTATTAAACAAAAGAAAAGTATATAAAGATCATTATTTAATTAGGACTTGGTGCTCCTAGTATTTCAAAAAACAGAAATGCGCAGAACACGAATAACCTGTGTATACTAATGCTTTGTTCTCGTTGCTTGTAACTTTTTGCATTTAGAATTTTCGCTTTTTTTCTGTTCAATGCTCAAATATATATTTATCTCGTTTTAAGTGCAAAAATTTTTGAGGATTTCAAGCAACGCGAACAAATCTTGAAAGTTAAATACACGTAATTTACGTGCGCACACACAAGAATATAATTCTTTTGCTAAAAAAAGCGATTACTCAATTTACTTTAAACAATGTTATTTTTAACAAAGAACGTTTTTTTGATAATAATCTAAAATTTATTAGAAATTAAAAAATCAATTATTATATACTCAAAACAAGAATTTATTTTCTTTCGAAGATATTATAAAATTGATCAAAGAAACAACTTTATAATAAACAAATTGAATTTGTTTTAATTTAATAATCTTGATTGAAGTATAGGATTCATAATATATTTTGAATAAATTTAATGCTTACACTGAGAAAAAAATATAGTCAATTTTAATAAATATTTAATTCAATATTGCCAACTAAACATTTACTTACAGTAAATAAATATTTGTTTAGTAAAAAAATAATTGTTAAATCAAATTAACATTTCTTGTATCGAATAAATATTTATATTTAATAAATATTTAGTTGGCAGTATTCAACTAAATATTTATTAAAATTGACTATATTTTTTTATGATGAACTTATGATAAAGCGAATATATGAACTTTTGAATACCTGAAACAATTATTACTTACGTATAGATATGTATTTTTCTGTATACACCAATCTGGTATTATTTACGTATCGTCAGTACCGTTATACCCGATCTGTGCCTTCGTACCTTAATTCGATTGCCTCGACAGCATTTTAGAATGCATAATAAGCACTGCCTGTCTCTTTATCCACCTAACGATTCCCAACAGAAAATAATCTCGTATACCGTATGCCGGCCGTTCTTCACGCCTCACGCTTAGGGCGGCCGCGCGCGAGTCCTTAAAGAATCCTCGATTAAGGGTAAAAAGAAAAACAGGGAGAGGGAGAAAGGGGGGAAACGGAGGCCCAGGATATCTCTCCCGACGCGGCAATCACGTCAGTCACGTCGATCCCCGGCTCTGGATGGGGCAAAAGTTTTATGAAGTCATCTTCTCGGAAAGAAAGGGATACGTCCATTCCTACCCGTCACACGTCGGCAGCCACGGTGTTATTTTAAGGCCGGTTTTAAACGCTCCGCGCTGCTCGCCAGGATGACCCGGGGGTAGCCCGCGCCGAGGAGAACCCGATACGGATACGTGTTTGTGTGTGCGTGTGTATGTATATACCATGCCCCGTCGCCTCTGGTTATTTTCTTCTGCAAGTCACCAGATTATCCGCCAGAATGGTCGACCGGGTATAGGTGGATAGAGAGGAGGAAGAGAGAAAATCTTTCGAGCCGTTGCATTTAGCTTTTATTTCTATCAAACAATTTGAAAAATCCGTCGACGTTGTATCCCAATAAGCAAGAAACATTTAAAAAATTTGAAACATTGCTGCAATGTTTCCAAATGTTTTTTGCTTATTAGGACGCGTTTCTTCAAGTTATACCACAGCAGAGATCCTAGCGATTCTGTGAAAGTTTGAAGGGACTCACCGAGTCTCTTCTTTCCCTGTATGATATACCGTGACTCGTGCAATTAATTGAATGTACTTCTTTTTTTGCCTGAGAATTTCAGTTTCAGCAGAGATCTAGTACCCTTGTTAAGTAATTTAGAAAAGGTGAGCTTCACAGGACTTGAAGTCTATCCAGTTGAGCTGAGAATAATCACAAGTCTTCCTACAGAAAAGGTCCTCAGCAACCACTCGAAGGGTCTAAGAAAAGGCAGACCCCAAACCTCAATAAAACATCATAAAGCCTTATATAAATTGTGATCTCTAAGATACTTGAAATATATTATCTATTAACTTAATTGATTCAGAAGGCAAGCGATGAAAACAGCTTTATAATATCAATGTAACATGTAAAAAAATAAATATCTATTATTTTGCGGTAGATATCGGCTGTGGCGTGTATTTCAATTTTCGATATATGTTCAATATACTATCAATACTGAAATTCTATAGTGTGTATAACGTGAACTGTAGTTTTTCACTGTACATCGAAATACATTTTTATTCTTGAATTTTTGAAAGAAATTCGAAACAATGATACGATTTCATAAACTTCATAAGTCATTGTATGTTGATATAATTCATAAAAATATTTTTATCGAAATTGTATTGCGAGAAAAACTAAAATACCGGAAGAACAGTAAAACTGGAGTTGGATAGTGCTAAGTTAAAAAGGTAAAAGTTAAGTTAAAGAGTTAAAAAGTTAATTAATTTTAACTTAACTTAGTTATATTTTAGACTCTTAACTTTTTAACTTAATTTAGTTACATTTTATTGGTAACTATTAACTTTTAAGTTGATTTTTTTGAAGTCAATCCTCACATACAATGCGAGAGGCTAATGAGTATATAATTCAGTAATTTTATATTGTATAACCGTTATGAACAAAAATAACCAGATTCTTTAATAAATATGCTGTGAGAAAGGAAAAATACGAATAATTATGTAAAGTGGTCAAACTTTTTTTTTGTTGTTCGTACCAAATTTAACTTTTAACTTTTCAATTACTTTTTTTATTAACATTAACTTTTAATTTAATTAATTTCATTATGGATTAACTTGTATTTTAATTAAGTTAAATTTTCAAGGCTGTTAACTTTAACTTAACTTAGTTAAAAACAAAAGTTAACTTACCCAACCCTGAGTAAAACACTAAGCGTTTGCGAAAATAATAAGAGCGCAGTTATGGTGTTAAAATTAGCTGCGTAAGAATCTTACGAGCTACATAACAGATTGAATTATTAATCATTTAGAACATACGGCATAAATCAACAGTGATTATGGCTAATAGCGAATTCGGTTGGACGCATTAGTGCGCATTTTAGTGTATATTAAAGTCGTTGTTACTGATTTAATTTATATAAAAGTAAAATGCAAATAATTCGAATTATAAAATACAGATTTTACTTAACAGTACAATAAAATGTATTGAGGATTTCATGTCTTTTTAAAAATTTATTTTTATATTTATATTAAACATATATTTTTACACTAACGTTTGTGTATGAATACATCCAATCAAATTCACTATATATAGGAAATGTTTCTTGCAAGTAGCATAATATATTTAGAATTTTACGTACGTTCACGTAAATTTGTAGAGGTGTATTGTTTCCAATGAAGATAATGTCTTCGAATTGCAGGGGCTCCGGCGACAAAAGGGCGGCCCACGTCAAGAGGCCCATGAACGCGTTTATGGTATGGGCCCAGGCTGCGAGGCGAAAACTGGCCGATCAGTATCCCCAGCTTCACAACGCCGAGCTGTCGAAAACACTGGGAAAATTATGGCGGTGAGTGTGGCACTTTCTTTGTGCTCGCGTCAATATTTTGAACTGTCAGGCGGAACGGTAGCGTAAATCAGTATAACGTGACAAATCCTAGAAGAGGCACGGCATTTATAATTATTTTAGATTAGCGTAAAATCTTAGATACTTCACAATCTGTGTTACAATCTGTATACTTAACAATTACTTAAAATCTGTTAAATATATATTTTTTTTAATTGTTCGATTACGGAAAGAACGATTTTGCTGAAAAATCTAAAAATTTAGCTAGATACAGATCTGAAAATAATTTTGTTAGACTATCAAAATTTTTAGAAAGGACACTCAAACTGATTGCTAAAATGTCAAAATTTTGTACAACATTACTCATCATATTTTAAAATCCTACATAATTATTTTAATGGTCTCCAACAAAATTGTTTTTCTATATAGGTTTTCAAATTTCATTACAGATTTTTATACGTTACTCCAGACTGTATAAAAATTTGAAAAAAATTCTTATATTTGTGAAAGCTTTAATATTTCTATTATAGTAATCGGATTGTATTTTATTTATTATTTATTAATTTAAATTTGTCAGACTTTGTAATTAAAAAATTTATAATTAAAAAACTGTTCCTTTAAACTAACACATTGTCGGTGAAGTATTTATTATAGATAACTTTTTTGCGCTTTATACTCCTCTTTCTCATTCTGTTTGTAAAATTATTTACCTCTAAATTCGATAAGATTTAACTAAATCTTTGCTTCAATTTTTCTTCTCGATTCAATTTTATTTTAATCGTATAAAAGTCGCGCAGTTGTGGACGATTAGACCTAAGTGCGTACTCAAGTGTTCTACAGCCGACGAATAAAATTTCAGCGGTCTCCTTGCCTGGCGGAAAGACACTGTTTCGATAAAATTAATCGGCACCACGTGTCTTCAATCGGATGCCTCTCCGTTCTCTCGATCTGATAAGCTCGATTCTCTCACAGATGCGAGCTCGCCAGGCGGCGATCAGCCATGCGAGAGAATCGTGCTTGCTGATCTTCGTTTGCGTTCGTCTTGTTCGTAGAAAATCGGATCGTGAGCCGAAAGCATGGAAATGTGCTGCTGATCATTTCAGCTGTCGTCAATTTGAAACCACCTGTGTTTTTACCGTCGATTTAATGGTTTTAAACTCGTGCATTGAATTCGCGCGAAGGAACAAGATAAAATTATGCCGGCAAAAGAAAAACTGACGATTATAGTTTAACCTTTTACCTGCAATCGTATTTTTATTTCCTCTGTCCAGCCCAAGATTTTTTTACTATTCTAGATTTTCAAAAAATATTGAAAAATTTAAGGTTATTTATAATATCTCTAATCCATTAATAAATAGTTTTTTAATACGATATTTTAGAAGGGGAAACTGAAATATGCCATTCTTTATTATGGAGAAATTTGACAATGAAATTTTGCTTGTGTCAAAAAAGCTAAAATTGCGAGAAAATTGCGGAGAATTAATTATATCAATATTATTTGTTATTTATTATTAATTTATAACATGTAACTCCAAAAATTTAATTGCTAATTTATACTATTAAAACTTGGAAGTATTCCCCACATTTTTACATATTTCTGGTAAATATTTGACACTACACAGTAAAAAATATTTTATATTTATGTTAAAACAAATCCTTGTTAAAAAATTTTTTTGTTGAATTTTTAACATATCCAAGTTTTAATTTAATATAATATGATTGTGTTATTTGAATATTTTGTGTTAAATTAAAATTTAACATTTCTCAATGTTAACATAATTTATAAATAAGTAAGCAAATAACATAAAAATAATGTAATTTTAAAACATAAATTCTAAGAATAAATGAATAAAATATGTGTTTTGATTTAATATGTTATAAATGTTAATTTTACTGAAGAAATATGTTCTTTACAATTAGTTACATATTTTATATGTAAAAAGATACAGATATTTTGTATTATTTTCTCTTTGTAACAGTAAATATCTGTTAAACCTATATATTGCATATGTTAAATATCACAGAGGCATCGCCTAAACTAAAAATGTGAAAATAGCATCTAATTTTAATTAAATTTAACATTATAAATATGTCAGTTTAACATAAAATTTGTTTTTAAATTGTGTCAAAGTATTATTCTTCTTGTGTTAATTTTTTATATAATATTTGTGTTACTTTCTAACATATTCATTATGTTAAATTAATACAAAAATTTGGGTGGACCGTTTGGGACATGTAAAATGTGTAAAAACAAAATTTTTTACTATGTACGAGTTTAATTTTTCTTACTGCAGCAGCTTTATAAAAATTCAAAGAATTTTAAAACTTAATTTCTTTCACGCGATTGAAGTAGAAAAAATTAGTCATCGAAAGATAAATATACATTATGTTTTCACCGTTTTGAAATCGTGTTTGATGTCACTTGCGTAAGACACAGCGTGTACGATTTTGATTAAAATAGTTGGAAAGAGTTGTAATATCGTCCAACGTGAAGATTATGCGACAAACACAAAGGTTAGAGTCACTGCGTTGTGCGTTCCAATTCTTGCGACCACTTGTTTATACGTAACCAGTTCTATTTTTACCAGCAAATTCGCGAATGCTCCTTTTTTTGAGTCAGCTATACATATATATATATACATATATATACGTATGAAACACTCGTACCACGTGGCGCTTAGGCTGCACGTGGTACAAGTATTCCTGCTTCTCGAGACCCGTCAACTCGAATCGCATATGTAACAGCAGAGAACACACTTTGCGTGACGTCGGCGGCCCTGTCTTTGTAACCAGACGAATTCCTTTAACACTTGCTTCCTCGTCATGACGATTTCATTTTTAGAAAGTCTTTCTTTCTTTTCAAAACATGTTTAATCTTCAACATCCTCTACATTCTGAAAAAGTGGTTGAAAATAGACAAACCAGAAGACTATAATTATATTATTAATCAAAATTCCAGTTACTCAACTAGAATTTTAGTAGATTTAATTAGAAAATTCTATTTTTCTATTTTTGGTTAGAGAATTCCAATTGATCCAGCCAGACATTTTTCTCAGTGCAGGAACGATCTATTTATTTAAATCAATCATCGTAAGGCGAGAAGACTCACTTTTTCTGTGAACCTTGAATATACGGAGAAAATTTTATATTAAGTTTTAATACACATTTTTAAATTACACTTTACTATATCTAGTATTTCCGATGGACCGTCACAACATGATTCCGACATAACTTTTACTACGGTAATACTAATTTTTATCACGTAATTATAATAAATAAAGTAATTATTTTGTTAAACCAATGCTTAAGCCATATTCTAACATAAAAACTGTTAATTTTTACTATGGTACGCAAACAAAATTTGCTAGGTATATATTTTTTACTTATCTTTGCAATACTAACTTTTATTCAACGAGTTGTGATTTTGTAATAAAAAATTTTTACTATATGAAAAAGTGTAAAAATTACGTTGCATTATTGTTTTTAAAAAAATAACTATAGCATTTAAATTTATAATTTACATGATGTCCGCAGCTACTACCACATTATAGTAATTTTAAATATAAAATTTTCTCCGTGTAGAATGCTTAGAATTTGGGTATAATTTTTATAGCTGTATATTGTTAAATTCATAATGTTAAATGATATCTATTTTGAGTTATTTTTAATCATTTCTCTAGATCTCGCCACTATTCCTGATCAAATTGTTAATTAAAATACTGAAAATGAACAACGAATTTAACTTAAGAAAATGTATTAAATTTGAGACTCACGTTTAACTTATTATTTACTAAATACGTTAATATGGATGTTTTTTTATTTTGAAACTATGTGTTTCAAACTTTCCTCTATATAATAATAAAAAATGACTTAATGATAATTTTTTGTCAAAAATAAAAAGGTTGAAAATAATAAAATTATTTTTGACTTAAAACATTAACTTAGCAATGCTCTTTTGATATGTAATGATGTAGTTGAGAGTTAAATGTTTGTTTCTGCCTGTCGTGTAAGTGAAAAGATAGAAATCGAAGAGATAAGACGGTTAAGTTTGTTTCCATTGAAGTCGATCGACTTGATCGGCTTCGCTTGGAAGTTTGGGAGTCTTTAAACTTCAAATAAATAAAACAAAACATACACGCGCAACGTATGCACACGTACGCAATTTTTGATACACCTTGTATACTTGCGGACTTCGCGATGACTCGTGGACGATTCTGTTTCCTGGTTGGGACTAACGAGGTGCCCCAGTGGGCCATATAAATGATCATCAGAGGACGCGCCGACAAGAACCCCCGTCGCGAATCATTTAATAACACCGGCCGCGATCGTGATCGCTCGCCAAAGATCGACGATCGATATCCCCGACGATTGTCACGGCAAGCTTTCGCCGAAAGATAAGACGCCGCGCAACAGTAAAGATCAATCGATTTTTTTTCCTAACGCCGTATCGAGACTCATTAGCGATCTATTGGTCTATAAACACGCATCGATGGAACCAAACGACATTCGCTATTCACTATTATCATCTACTTTCGTGCCTGACTAGACCTTATATGGGAAGGAGAAAGAACATATGTCGGATACGAAATTGAAGATTCGGATACCAAAATCGATACGACTCCGGTCTCTTGCACAACTCGAAAGAAACAAAAGCCGTCCTTGGGACGTTACGTTGACCTACGGGTTTTCGGCTCTTAAAAAGTCATTATTTAGCACCTTTTCGGTATGGACCTAGTGGTAATTAACACGTTCTCGTCCAAGTACGCGAGAGGTATTTTTCGTGACTGTGCCAAGGCCTCGTAATACGCGCGAATAAACTAGACAAATCTTTGAACACTTGCGTCGCATGCAAAGAATCGAATTTGCGCGATCGATCGTCGATTGAGAGACGTCACCGCGCGTCACTCTGACGTTTTGATTCCACCCTCGCGCAGAAACAAATGATACAGTCATCTTCGGTAATGAACACAGTGCTAGAGCGATTGCGCTACGCGGTCGGAGTTGCTTGCCAACTGATGGAACCGATAAAACGGCGAAGTTCAACGACGATCATGCTTACAAAGATCGGTATATGTACAGATCGCAACGTCGATGGGGCGCGGTGGTTCACAAAATGACAAGTGGATAAAGGAGATATCGTTACACTTGAATTATAATGATGTTTGCGACCTTATACTTGCAAAAAGTAAAAAAAATATATGCAGATAGTAAAGATATCAAATATGGAAAAATATATAATTGAAAAGACGCAGTATTTCTTCTCTGTAAACAGAAATTGAAATGAGATTACGACAATAATAAATTGTAAAATGCTATAGAATAGAAATTTATTTCTTCAGCTTATTTTTGCCAAGAAGGGACTTAACAATTATAATTTCTTTTAACTTCACACATCCATCTTATGATTGACAGCTAACTAAAATCTTACATATTACTATTACTTAAATCTATATTTATTTCTTATTTTTCTTATCTTAATATTTTTAATATTATAGTTTTTTTTACATTTTACACTAATTTACATTAATATTACAAGTACCCAATTATTACACAATTTTCATGCAAACTCTAGCTTGTTATTTTTATCTTCATGTTTCTCTCCTATTAACTAATTTTCTATACTTATCTTATAGCTTAGCAGTAGAAAAATATCAATATTTCTTACTCATTGAAATTTTACGAAAAGAAATAAAGATAGGGATAAATAAAGATTAACATTAAAAGTATATTTTTTATATTAATCTTATTTCTTGTATAAAAGAGGATACTGAAATTTTTTTATTTTTTAGTAATTATATCCTTTACACTAGTACAACATATTTAATTTTTTTATCACTTCTTTATTTTCATATTAATTTATTCGCTTAGTAAATTCGAAAAATTTCAGAATCCTATTTTTTACTCAAGAAATAATATTAATACAAAAAATAGAAACAGTCAATAATAATCACTCGGTATTTCTAACGTTAATCTTTGTAACTATCCTTCTTTCTTTTTGCAAAATTTTATAATTTACACAACAAAAACGTAAAGCTGCGATATAAAATGACAAGTCCCCTTTAGGATAAACATTTTAATCTACTACGTTATAATCTACTACATTTTAATCGACATGTCGAATCCTGTCGGACTTCGACGCCGACTTGTCTCACGTCAATCCTGATAAGAGGGCCAGGTGCCAGTGTCTGAAAATAAATCTTTTTCTCACATTCTGTCCTCCCCCCCCCTCTCTCTCTCTCTCTCTTGTTGTCTCGAAACGTATCGCCATTCGGATACTCCAAACGCGATGTGTTTGTCGACAAAAGGAAAACAGATATCCCCGGTTCATCCTTGGCGCGTGCTCGCAGCTGCCGGCCGGTTCCTGTCGGAGATAAAGAGGCCCCCAGGGACCACAATAGGCGCCTTGTGTTCGTCAGGTGAATTTTTCCGAACCTGCCCCTTCGCATCTCCGGGCCCGCCAGCAAATAGCGCGTGACGAGAACAGGTAAATCCGTCTTATCTCCCGGAAGGAACGATTCCTCCACACGTTGGATTTCCTTCGAATGCGATAGCTATTATTTTCTCGCAGTAGCCACTATCGGTTCTAAGTAAAAACGCATTGCCATTGTGGTCATGGTTGAGAGTTTAGAATTGTATCGCTGTTCGAAATAGGTTCTACGTTCGCGAAAGTCATGTTTCTTTTTATGAAACTCCGCTTTTCATGAAACTATACTACTAGTTGAAACTTTGCATTCTTGATATGATCAGATTTTTCAGGAAGATGTGTGGATATAAAGATAAATACAATAATAGCGATTTATTAAAAAAAAAAAATAGTACAATTATTTTTTTATTATTTGAAATGATCTGTTTTAATAAGGAAGATGAATTCTATGAAAAGGAATTCTTGGCAACGGAAATCAAAATTATTTTTTTTTATTAATATTGCTTTCAAAATACAAATTCAAAGTTGAGTTTTTTTCCGCCATCCACACTTTGTTCATTACAGAAAAAATTAATTCGATTACTGCATTTCTTCTTAAAAGTAATAATACATATTCTATGATTTTAAAATTTATAAAATATTTTTCAGCAGAACTTGTTTGTTAAAATCGAGACATTTGACATGTTTGGCAGGACGGTGGGACAAGCACTTCGAAAGCAGGACTGTCCCGCCGAAATCGGAACGTCTATAGAGTCACATTATGCATCAAGCGATTATCGTCGCTTTAGAAGAGTGTTTGAAGGAACGCTTCGAGAAAGTCGGACAATTTCGCGATTTGTCGACAGTTACTCGGGATGACAAGCGTGATAATTCAATTAAAATCCCACGATGAGAGGATTCAGTATCGAGATTGAATATCATGCGACCTTCGACCGTGTGAATTTCTCTCTTCTTCTCTCTCCTTTATAACATTTGATATGCATGTACAAATAACCTCGTAGAGATACTGGCGAGAGGCAGATCTAAATTGGCTGATCCTGTGTTGCATCTGGCGAAGAAAAAGAGGCTGCGACGTCGCTCGCTATCGTCAGCACCCATTGGCCAAAAAAAAGCTCGTGGCAAGTCCATTGACCAGATGGATTTTCTCTCTCTCGATCTCTCTCCGTCTACCGCTCTTCTTTCTCCCTTCTTCTTTCTTGTCGGTGACAAAACACCGCCGGTTAAGCTTGAGATACGTGCCTTCAACGTGTGTCAACCCGCTCGAGAGCTTAGCTCCCGTCGTGGGATTTAAATCCCGAGCTTGCGAATACTCCAGATGATGTATTACCAGCTTCCTCAAACGGTTCTCATGACATTCTCTTCCACTTTATTTTGCACTTCGAACGACGCATATTATTTACGATGCAGTTAAAGAAACATATTAGCAATTCCAATGTGTGAAAGAGATATCAAACTCAGAAGAAGCGGACGCTGACGACCTGAATCGGAGATATCTTGAGAGAAAGCGTGGCGAATCTGAGATCATCCTGCATGTTGCAGGATGAGTTTATTATTAATGCAATGACAGGACCTCACACAGTTACACTTTATCCGAGAGACATTCTGGGAACGTCCTCAAAACGTCCAGAGGATAGAGACGTCTTCTGGACATTTTTAAGAAAATTGTCATTTGAAGATCTATACTATATGGGACATTTAAAGGGTAAAAAATGTGAATCGTTTAAGTCTATATCGGATTAGGGATTGAGATTGAATTTAATCAATCACACAAAGTTAAGTTTACTAAACTTGATATCGGTTTTCTTTCTTCTAATTGGTTAAATTCAATCTCAATCTCTAGTCTGATACAGAGGCGTAAGGTGGCACAAGCCATCGGCTGGACGACGGAAATCCTGGAATCCCTCGGACGTTCTCTATTACACCGGAAAACCTTATCGGTCGCGAGGTTTACGAGCTCAGTGGGAATATAAACACAAAGAGCATTTAAGGACCGTAACTGTGCACCGAGCCCCGCACCCGCCGAGCCGCTCTGCGAGGCGGACTAAGTTGTGCGCGCCTTCGAGCGCCTTAACGCGTCCAGAAACACTAACCAGACCCCCCATTTCGACTCTTCGAGAGTATATATCAGACGCCGATGGAAATGCTCTCGTTCCAAGCCTCTTCTGATGCCGGGTAGCGAGAAACGCTCGGCCACGAACGGCGCGAGGAGAGACGGTCGCTCGCCTGTGTATAATACACGCGACGTGAGAGACGTGAATCACGTCGAGCCGACGACAGATTTCATGGCTAAGCCCGGGAATTGCTACGTGATGTAAATCTAAAAATTACAACATTATTTGGAAAGGATCCCGCACTAATTATATGAAAATTGGGTCCTGCATAGAAAGAACGATTTTGCTAAAGTATTTAAAAATTTAGGTAGATACAGATTTGAAAATAATTTTGTTGGGCCATCAACATAATTATATAGGAAGCTCAAATATGATGAGTAATGCTACAAAAAGTTTTAACATTCTAGCTATCAGTTTGAGGCCCAGTTTTTCGTTTTCTGGTTAACCTAATCTGATGTTTTATCCAATGGGCTTTATCTATGATGATGTCATAAAGCTCATTGGACGAAACATCAGGTTAAACTTAATCACAAGTTAACCAGGTAATGAATAATTGGGTCTGAGTATTCTATATAAATATTTTGATAGCTCAAATAAAATTATTTTCAGATCTGTATCTACCTAAATGTTTAGACTTCAATAAAACTGTACTTTCCGTGTAATGAAATGAGTTAACTCTTATATATTGTGTAACTTATAATGTAGTAAATAAAAATCATACACAAGATTCAATAATAAATTAGATTCTAATTTATTATTAATCTATTACCTACTAGATATCCAGTCATGTAACTGCTGATAGTTGACATTTTTGGAAAAATTTTATTTTATTTGAGCTCCTTCAGTTACCGTTCAATTATCACCATTGTTGAACACAGCTTATGATTACTCATTCATTATTACTTATTTTAGTTTATCGACATATTTGACCAATTCTGAGGTGCTCAGATGCACTTAAAAGTTAACTGAAACGTATGCCTTAAGCTTTTTTTATTGCTTTAAGCGTTTTTAATGTATTATTTTGTGATATTTTTATTTAATTAACATATTAATATATTATTATTTGTGTGTGTGATGCATGATATCTGCGCATGACTTTTTTGTCCTTGTTCTTTTTTCATATTTTAATAATGGATAGTATTTTTAACTTAATTTTCTATATATAATAATTAGTACGAGACCTTTTCAAGAAAAATTTCATAGTTTCCAAAATCCATTATTAAAATATCTCAAAAGAGAGAATAACTACAAATAAGAGTCATGCGGAGGTGTCAAAGCATTAATATATTAATTTAAAAAGTCACAAATATTAGAACAATATACTGCAAAGCTCGTGTAATATGTACGAAAATTATGTTTTGTCTAGCATAATTTAAATTTGTTACGATTGATTGTGTACAGGCTCCTGTCCGACAATGACAAGAAACCTTTCATCGAGGAGGCCGACCGCCTGCGCGTTATTCACAAACGCGAGCACCCCGATTACAAGTATCAACCACGACGTCGGAAGCAAAATGGGCCGTCATCCGGCCGGGAGAGTTCGCCCACGAGGAGTCAAAGCAACGTGACGTTTAGCGTTACCAGGTCGTTGAAGCAGGAGGACATGAGTCCTAGAGGTGTTCAAGGACCCAATTCACCGCAAAGTGGCGTAAGCTCTTCGCCACCCACGACACCCAGTCAGGGTCTTTCACCACCGACACCCCCTACGACGCCCAGGGGACAGCACTATATTAATCAGGTATCCAACACGTTCCTTGCGATCATTTTCTGACGAGAATTTTCGATTTCATGAGAAGATTTAAAAAATTAATATATTAATGATACACACTTGCATGTTTCTGCTATTTTAAGATTATTTATGTTGATAAGATTATTGCAAAACTAACAATAAACATTAATGATAACAGTAATTAAAAATTAAGGAGTAAGTTGTGTCTGTTATTTAATTTTCATTTTGTAGTTATTATATTTAATGAAGAAAGGAATAATTTACGGTCTTAAACTATTTCTCGCACATGAGAGCAAAAATCAAATATTTCATCTTCAATTTCATCTAATTGGCTGATCAGCTTAGATCAATCTAATATAAATCAAAGAATTTTTATTGGAAGAATTTATAGAGCTACTAAAAAATTATAAAAGTTAATAAAATTATTAAATTTTATAACATTGTAAAAATTATAATATTATAAGAATTACAAAGATTTAATCCGTGATATTACATATGTAATAGCTGGAGTATATACTCCAACTTTAATCTAGGACTGTATTTCAGAATTGACAAATGATTAGCAGTTTGCTTCAAAATTATAAATTTACACAAAAAGTATTATTAAGCACCAAGACCTGCTTTGACCGAGCATTTCACTGCGTTGAATATTTTGGAGTCGATTTTCACTTAATATAAAAAAATTATATAATTGCTAATTAAATTGCGACTTGAACGTTTTAATAATTACGCGATAGGCTACTATAATATATTATATTGAGTTTAAACTGCAAAAAGCTCGCTTCTCGTAAATATAATTACTCAAAGCTTTCGCACGCGCGCGAACCGTTTGCAATCCCAGCTAATCGTTCTAATCGTTGACGTTCTGCGAAATGAAGACGCTTGATTCGCAGAGCAATCAGCTTCCGCAGAACAACACGGTGTATTACCAGGATTTGGTCAGCGGCACGCCATCGAGTGAGTCCCCGCATCAACAACCAGCGGTTGATCTTCGGTATATCGAGATCGGAGATGGCCTCCCCGGCGAGGAGAATCAGTTAAATGGTCTCGGAACTTTGGGCGGGCTAGGTCTGAATCTTCCGGTGAACTTCCAGGAGTGCGAGGTCGAAAGCAATGAGCTCGACCAATACTTACCACCCCAGACTGCACCGATACACCAGTACCCGCCCGTGCAAGTCACCACCGCCTCGCAATGGTTACTCAACAGGTAGAGAGATCGCCATAATTGCGCTTTTTCACAATGACTTCAAATCGAAGGATGCATCTTAAAAAGAATGTAGAATCAACTCACTTCGAAAGTTTTGACTTAAAAAGAGTTGTACTTAAAATAGAAACCATCAAGTAAAAATCTAGATTTGAGACAAATAGACGGCATGACTCTAAGGAGAAGAAGGAGCTTCCTCCTCCTTAGATTTTGATAGGGAAAACAATTGAATTATAAAAATTATCTTACATGACGAAAAGTTAAACGCTCGCTGACCAATTCGTGGTCATGCGTTATTCATATGAAAATTTGCTGTGTGTGTGTGTGTGTGTGTGTGTGTGTGTGTGTGTGTGTGTGTGTGTGTGTGTGAAAATCCTCGAAGACTAGCTTTAATATGAGTATTTTAATAAATTTTGAATTTTCAAATTAAACATTATCTTTGGTTTTCAAATTAAACATTTTCAACTTTTAAAAAAATTTTACTAAGGGTGCATTCCGTTTCACGCATGATGTGCATGATGCATCATTTATTCTTGTTTAACTCGGTGAATAACAAGGATAAATGATGCATCATGCGCATCATGCGTGAAACAGAATGCACTCTAATACATGCACCCTACACAGCAGAAATATTCCGAATATATACATATATTACGGATGTCCTACAAACGTCTTTAGACTGTCCCTGTGATATAATTTGGATATTATGCAGTGGGATATTACAATGGTTAAGCTATTTGCAGGTTATAATGGGTTCAAAACACTTTTCGGTTTACTTAAATGGCTGCCAACATATAGAAAAAAAATAAGCTAAACACAGAAAAAAGACTATTCTTATATCAATCATAATATACTCATATATAAGCAAAAATATTATAAACTTGCTTCAAAGATATCAATCTTGATTTGATTAAATTTGTTTTGATGCAAGTATTACTTTGCACTTAATTCAAGACTTGCTCAATTAAAAATCTTATATCAATACAAATTCAAGACTAAAATTTTTAAAGCAAGATTACAATATTTTTGCTTATATATGAGTATATTATGGTTAATTTAAGAATAGTCTTTTTTTCTGTGTAACACCATTCGAAATATACCTAATACAGGCTTCTGTAAATTTTGCGTAGTCCATCCTATATCTTTCGCAATATCGCTGTATTTGTCTCGTGAACAGACTATTAAGTGTCCATACAGACTTTTACTTGAGAGTTTTTAACGAAATCATGCCAAGATATAATGTCGAGAGATACTTTTAACTTTTATTGCTACATAATTATTATAATATATTTTTATTTTTAATTTTGCATGTTTTTCCTTCGCTATTCATTTAATGCAAACACCGTTTATTAACAAAAGTTGTAAAATGAACCGGTAGATTTCTCGAAATTTACCTTGTCGATTTTTTTTTATCACGTTTCTGTTTCTGTATGAGACGTCGGGACGTTTTGCTTCGCTTCCAGATACGAGGAGGAGATCGAGAGACCGATCAAGCGTCACTGTTCAGAGCAGGCGATCGCGGAGGTATCGTCATGGGAGGACAGGACTCAGGAGATGGTCAGGTACCACGAGCTGCAGCCTCCCCTTCCGCCAGTCCAGTACATATCCGCCCATAACGCGCACCATTCGCACGCGAGTACGCAGATGGGCCATCCGCACGTGTCCACGCCCTACGCGCAATACGCACATCGCTATGTGTCTGGCATTGAGACGTGGCCGAATTATATGTAGACCAAAGCGAGGTAAACATGCCCGATTTATTTTTCGTTTCGCGGTGCCGAGAGGCGCGCCGCGGAATAGTAGAATCGTACCGATTTTTACGTACCTAGGTACAAGGGATCGGAGAAAGAATTCGCGTAGACCGTCCCGGATCAGCCGCGAAATATTCGATGGACAAATTGGCGAAATCTCACGTGATTCTTTCTGGTCAACGTCATCGTTATTGTTCTAAATTTTCGTTATTTAATCTTCCGTCTACAATCTGGGTCTTTTTTAGCACAAGCAAAATTTCACTCTCAAATTTCTTTGAGAAAGAATGTTAATAAAGGAGGATGGAGGCCAAGTCCCTCTTTTAAATAATTTTATGGAAAAAACGATTTTGTTGAAATATTTAAAAATTTAGCTGGATACAGATATAAACATAATTTGGATTATCAAAATAATTATGAAGAAATCTCAAACATGAACAACGCTACAAAAAATTTTAATATTCTAGCAATCAGGCTAGAATCCTGATGCAACCCTGGCTGAGGTAATATTTTTCGCAATAAGTTCTTTACAGTTTTTCTAATTTAATTTAGAAGGGATTATTAGCTTTCAGGCTGATTGTGTTAAAAATCTGAAAATTATCGGCAATCACATCTGAAATAAATTGATTTAATAAATAATATATATTATTGTGTATTGTTAAACATCTAACTTTAACCGTTAATGGCCTTCTTTATCGTATTTGATGTATTCTAGCAATCAGGTTGAGCGTCCTACATGTATAATATAATTATTTTGGAGGTGCAACAAAAAATTTTCGGATCTGTATAACTAAATTTTTAGATATTTCAGCAAAAATCTTTTCTGTGTTGTTAAACAAATATTTGGTAATGTAATAGAGATGTTGAAAAGTAATCCTGAATTTTTCCACATTTTCGAAAGCCTAGAACAATAAAAAAAAAAACAAATTGCAGACGGAAGATTAAATGCATCTCGAAGGTCAAAGTTGTACAATTATCGAAATTATCCTGAAATTATTTGAGAATCAAAGAGACTTATTCTCTGTAATTTCTGCAATTTATTCGCAAAAATGATCTTATTTTTAAACAAATATTTGGTAATGTAATAGAGATGTTGAAAAGTAATCCTGAATTTTTCCACATTTTCGAAAGCCTAGAACAATAAAAAAAAAAACAAATTGCAGACGGAAGATTAAATGCATCTCGAAGGTCAAAGTTGTACAATTATCGAAATTATCCTGAAATTATTTGAGAATCAAAGAGACTTATTCTCTGTAATTTCTGCAATTTATTCGCAAAAATGATCTTATTTTTAAACAAATATTTGGTAATGTAATAGAGATGTTGAAAAGTAATCCTGAATTTTTCCACATTTTCGAAAGCCTAGAACAATAAAAAAAAAAACAAATTGCAGACGGAAGATTAAATGCATCTCGAAGGTCAAAGTTGTACAATTATCGAAATTATCCTGAAATTATTTGAGAATTAAAGAGACTTATTCTCTGTAATTTCTGTAATTTATTCGCAAAAATGATCTTATTTTTAACTATACAGTCACATTTCTTATCAAGGAAAAGTCGCCGCCGAGGAATTTGTTTACGAAATATTTTTTGACAGATCTGAGACATCCTGTAGATAACGGCGCTGAAAAATTATGTACGAAATGCGTCGCGTAAAGTAAAGAAAGTAAAATAAAGACTATTTTATTACGTCGACTATTTTGTTACATTGACTTAGTTGCTTGTATAAATGAAAATGATTGTAGAAAATAATTATATAAGCAAATGATTATAATACATAAATAAATTGTGATTGGATCAATCGCCGCGGTATTAAATCCCCACGGTGTTAAATCCTTGCGATGTTTCCGGGCCACACAGACCCTTAAGAATAGCCAAATACAACGTAATTAACGATTGATTACGGAGATTCATTAATCGTACATGCGCGAGTCTGATTGTACGAGAGATGCGCGACTAAACGCAAGCTTCGAGTGATAAAATTTGTTATTAGTATAACGCAGATATTTTGGATATCCATTTGTATCGATTTTAAACCGGCATTCCTGCCTCCAGAAGGAACCGCCGTCGTCGTCTCTGACGTTTGACGACATTGCGAATTTGTGAAGAAAGATAGACGAGAAGAAAAGGAAGAAAAAGCAATGCCACGTATACGAGTATACTGTATGATTTTGAATCTTTCAAGTTCTTCTCGAAAGAATTCTCGCACAAATTAGATTCTATCGCTCTTCTATCGCAATTTCGATATCGTGACAATTATCGTGCAAAACACTTGCGTAATATCCTGTAAATATAATAATATGCTTTAAATAAATTGAAACGAGCTAAAATAGCTCGTTGCATCAGATTTCAAATTGTTGTAAAAAGCATGATATAATTTTTATGTAAATTTATTAATATCGTGAATATCTTGAAAACAAGCATTGCATAGTTTTTTTTTTGCGAATTTGACAAGAATATGTCTTTATCTCCTTAATTTCAATGGAAAAAACATAGAAGGAAGATATATGTAGAGTGCAGAATTAATTGCACTAAAATTTACTGTATAGACGTACATATCTATTAAAGATACTCAAGCCAGAGTTTGGCAGAATCAAATTGCTTCAGTTTCTTGAGTTTCAATTCTTTTTCATATACAACGATTTTGCCATCTATTTTTCTTTAAATTTTTGATTTTGATATCAATTTGATTCAGTATATAATATTGAATTTAATTAAATATAAATTTTTCATTTTTATATACAAATTTTACAAGAATTTAATTTAACAAGAAGAGGTAGATTTTTTATATTTTGGTCTCCTTCAACATAATGAATCTATATTGGAAATCAATTATGCCATGTTCGAACGTTTTGTTGAATGGACCTTGCAAATAGTATTTTTTAATGTATGAAAGACCCCCGTAATTATACCCATAAGAATCAAAGCGTAAGTCGAACGTAATGGGAGAACAATACACTGACTCCTTGCAAATAGTATTTTTTAATGTATGAAAGACCCCCGTAATTATACCCATAAGAATCAAAGCTTAAGTCGAACGTAATGGGAGAACAATACACTGACAAAAATGTCCGTTCAAAAAGTAACAAACAGATATTTCCGATTGATTTTGATCGGATTTATAAGACTATCCAATAAATTCGATCGGATAGTCCTAAAATTTGATAGGATAGTCTTATAAATCCGATCAAAATCAATCGAAAATATCTGTTTGTTACTTTTTGAACGGATAAAGCCCGGAAATTTTTCTCAGTGTCACTGAAAAAAAAGTCTAGTTATAGCTATCAAATATTGAGTAAAATAGTTTCAACTAAATGTTGAGGTAATATAACTAAACATAAGTTTACCTTTACAAATATTTAGTAAATATTACTAAACAGTATTACCAACGGTAATACTTACTATATATTTGTAAAAGTAAACTTATGTTTAGTTATATTACCTCAACATTTAGTTGAAACTATTTCACTCAATATTTGATAGCTATAACTAGATTTCTTTTTCAGTGTAGAAACGTAAACGAAGCTTCTACGAGGCGAAAATTGAAACAACGGAAAGTAAAAGAAGTATAAAACACCCCTTTTACGTTTCGTTGTTTAAATTTTCGCCTCCTAGAAGCTTCGTTTACGCTTCTATTACTATCCCATTAGACTTACACTTGGATTTTTATTTTCATCAGGGTATGAAAAATTGCCGATGAAATGACTTAGTTTTCATCATACTGAAGGAGATCAAAATCCGTCAAGAGTCCACTGTATCCTCTCCTTATAAGCCTGACAACTTATTAAATCGCTGCATTTAATGCATGCTGCACTTTTGCTAAATTAAATGTTGATATCCTCAGAATAGATCTCCTTCTTCAAATTAGAAGAAACGATCTATATGACGAATCAATAAGATTGTCGATATTCTTCATATACGATTTGCTGATAATTGTTGTTAACAAGAAATTATTAACGGCATAGTTGCTTTGCGATCCGAGAAACGGATCGACGTGTCCTGCTCGACGTATGAAAATGGCGGATTGGCCATTCTCCGGCTTGAGAGTCTTTACTACGTGGACGAGGCGCGGCCACGATACTCACCATGACATCATTCCATGACAGCCGGCCATTCCAAAGCGCAGAATTTCAGGCCAAACAAACAAGCGGCCGCTCGATATACACGGTATCCGGCGGCGCGAGCGTTCCAAATGTAATAATATAGTATATACGTATATAGTATATATGTATATATACAATATATATATATATATATATATATATATGTGTGTGTATACGCGAGACGCGCGCGGACGCTATAAACCGGCGATCGGCTCGCCCGCGCACGTCCCGTTCAAATAAACGGCTGAAATACGATCGAGGGTGGCAACAAATGTGCACTTGGCGCTTTCCGTTTAACAGACCGAGTATTTCGGGACCCGGAATTTACGCGGTCGAGATACGGCGACGATCGTCTCGACTGTCGCGGCTATAAAAGATTTTCGCGATCGACGGAGTTAACTCTTTAAAGTTTTCTCGCGTTCTAAGAATTAGAAAAAAAAATTAAGAGTATAAGTTGGACGAAGATTAACAAGTTAATTTGCATCGGTGAAAACGGGAATAAAAGCTAAATTTTAATCAAGCATTTTTATGAATTGGAGATTCTCGATGGGTTTTTAGTGATTCAGTCGTGAATTGTCCTTCGCTTTCAATGAAATCTAATTGTAAGTGGTATCTCTGATTTTAGATCGATCGAATCGATCGGCGGATATAAATTAGACCGGATATATCGAGGACCGACAACTGGCCTGATATCGAGCGTGCAGCTATTGTAAATGAACTTACAACTCCATATTAAAACACGTAGATGACATAGATTATATACATTATTAACACTTATTAGTTACTACGCTGACACAGCCGTGCTTTTGTACTTAGATATTTATTCACCGCATTTTTACGAGGATTGATAGGAAGCGTAGGTTAACGTCTTGGCGTAGCTGTGCACATTGAAGGGCGAGCACTAAACCATAACTTATAAGTGCGATGTACGCTAATTTGTAGAAATAAAGCAACAAGAGAGATTAAAATCTGTCGTATTTAATTCCCCTCTCGTTCCTAACTTCCCGGAAATTGTGCCGATATTTTTTATACATTTTTAAAGTTTTATATTACAAATTGTTAATATATCTATTTATAGTTATCTATTTATTACAGTAAATCTATTTATTGTTAGAGTATATCTGGATATGAAGTATATCTAGAAAAT